TAGGGTAGTGTTGCAGGATGTATGTCGATATCGGCGCATGGTTTAGCACTGACGTCAACATTGCTCACCCTTACCTAAGATGAATGCCTAGCTGTATGTGCGCAACATCAACATTGTGAACTTACTTTTTCATTAGTGTGCAGATTGAAAAATACAGGCCTTGCTGTAGACTAGCTTATCGTGACTGCTGTGCATGGTGCATGAGCTAGTGGACAACTTGACCATAGTCGCCTCTGATGGGGCTTCAGCTGCTTGTATCGCAGAGGCAGCGATGGGATCTGCGGCTTTCTTGCTATGGTTTCTATGATGTCCCTCTTGTCATCGTCGGCAGTGCTGGCCTGCCTAATGGCTTAGTATCGAGCAGTACGACTTGCCAGGCTTGGCCTTAGCTGGTGGTTTGTTTCCTAGTAATCCAACTACAGCCATGCCACCGATGGGTGTGGTGCTGTTGTGCTCCCATGGCATGAGCGGCGGTTGGCCATGCAGACAATATGTTCAAGAGAGCTGCAGGTGACCGTTCGATTGCACCAATCTTAGCAGCCAGACACGTGAACACGATGACGTTGTTGTTTTTTCTCAGACACACCTGCGCGCAGTGTCTGTGCTTTTGAACCTCCAGCCGACAACAGCCTTTTTCTTTTATGCTCTTTTTGCACTCACTTTCACAATTGCCATGGTTTCATGTATTCAGGGGACGCAAAACATATTTAATGACAGCACGAGCTCCAACCTGTCAAACTTTTGGCTTGTATACAACCAGACCATCTATATGAGTCTGGAAAAGGTCAGCTTGGCAGACATCAATTGCACAACCAACAGCGAGAGCGACGTAAGCTGCTGCTACCACAACAACTGCACCAGTGTGCACTGCCCCGGCGCGTACCCAAGCGCAGAGGACACAAAGCTTATGAGCAACTTGATTCTGCAGTCGCACTCTGACGCAGCTCGCCCAAAATGCACAGGCTATTCGCTGCTGTTACTTCTACTGGTGCCCCTCGTTCTTGCTGCATGAGCTCCACACAATGTGATGCGCAGCACGTCTGCCGCCTTTTGACCAAGCGTGTTGTCTTTGATGTGGCTGGTCCTTTAAAGGGGGATCATGTCGATTTCTACTGTCAAACGCTCTGTCTCTCCTCCCTCAGCTCTTAAAATCCTTTTTCAAAACAATCCCATTCAATCCTTTGGCTTGTATGAGCAAGGTGGACGAGTTTTTTCGCATCCGCATCAACACCACCAACCATGGACACCAATTCTGAAGTGGCTACTGCAGTGGCTACGAGCGACATCATATCCTTGTCTACGCCTGCCTCCGAATCAACGCCTATCACTACACCCGTCTGTGCCTATGAATGAGAGTAACAGTATCAGTTATTTCTGTGATCTAGTCGCAATCAGGGACGCTCTAAACGACAGCCTCACTAGCAGCCTAGTCAATGCGTATGGCGATATTGTTCGCAAAGAGCTCCTGCGTCCGTTGGCTAACTCAAGTGTCCATGATATGATTGATCTGTCAACCCGCAGCATCGACAGACACGGTGATCTGTTCAAGGGCATCAAGGGCGACATCTACCGCGCTCTGCTACCGCTTGACACGGCGATATGGAAGTACCTACACAGCGCATTAGACAAATCTGATATCGTGGAGCTGCTTGCCAGGCAGCCAGATATCTTCTCTGGCATCATGCGCAGCGAAAGCAGCCGATTCAACTGCTACGCGTTCTCGCTGAGCCCCGCTAAATATCTGTCCCGGTTTATACCCTCTGGCGTCAAGGCACTGGACAATGAGCGTCTCAACTGGAGAAGCTATTAAAGTTTGGCTGCAAAATGACATGCAATACATGAAGCCCCTGGCAGCAGGATCTCAATAAGCTGGACACAGGCCATCTGCAATGTGGAACGGCAGAGCTATATCGTCAATCTCCTTAGCGCCCGTAGCGATTGTGCGTAATGCTGGCTAGTTGTGCTATATGCAGCCGATATGATTGTGTCCGAGAAAAATTGGCTTTTCGTGTTTAGTTTACAGAGATAGAAGAAAAGGTAACTTTCGCCAGAAAGAGAAAACCGAAGCCCACCTCCGCTCTCAAAAAGTACAGGTTTGGAGGGCGGTGGGAGTCCAGGATGAAAGGAAAAAAGCTCTAAGAGGTAAAAATCTATTCCGCCTTCATATGGTGGGTGTGGGACTTTGCGGGGCAGTTTGTATGGCAGACCTCAATCTCCTTCATCCACTGGCTGTCGAGGACTTGGTCCATGGTCATGCGCGCGGTCGATTCTGGGTGCACCATGCCCTCAATGACGCTCTTGCCGTCGTGGCGGAGGGTGGGCAGCTGCGCCAGCAGCTTCTCACGTCCGCGCGGCCAGTCGCGGATGTACGAGCCGTAGTTGCGGTCGTTGTCGATTTCGGCGATGCGCCAGGGGAACTTGAGCAGGGTCATGCACATGTACATGATGCCGACGGACCAGATATCGGCGACCTGGGCGTAGTATGGCAGCTGGCGGCGCGACTGCAGGACCTCGGGGGCAATGTACGGGTCGGAGCCGCACACGCCGACGACCTTGCTGGGCTCCTTCTGGAACGGCGTCTTGAAGACGGTGGCACAGCCAAAATCGATGATTTTGACGATGCCGCGCTCGGTCAGCAGACAGTTCTCGAGCTTGAGGTCGCGGTGGGCAATGCCGATCTTGTGCAGATACTGGACGCCCTGGCACACTTGCTTGAACCAGCAGAAGGTCTCGTCAAGGTCCATGTCGCCCATGGCCACAAAGGTAAATAGGTCGTGGGGGCAGTACTCCATGATCTCGTAGACGCGCTCGCCCTCAAAGATCAGATCCAGCGTCTCAATCACATTCTCGTTGTGGATGCTCGAGCCGATGCAGAACTCGGACGTGACCTTCTTCATGTACGCACGGGGCGTCTCATCGGGCCGGCGTTTGCGGAACTCCTTGACTGCAAACAGCCGGTGCTCGCTGGGCGTGTAAGCGTGCGGCTCGTCACCGTGATGCGACGACGGCGGCCCGCTGCGCAGGCTTGGCGGCCGCACCTCAACGTCGACGCCTTGCAGCAGCCGCACAGTACCGCCGGTGCCCTTGCCGATGACCTTTGTCTGGCGCCCAAACTGGTTGAGCGTGGCCTTGTGCGATGAGTAGACCGGCCCAGGCTTCTTGTGCTGCGTCGTGGCCGAGCGCGGCAGCTGATTGGGCGCTGTCACGCCAGCCGGCGACGCAGGTGTGCTGGTAGCCTCAAAGTGCGGGTGGCTCAGGGCCGCCGGTGCGCCGGGCTTGTGCCGTAGGCTCGAGTCCTCGGCCGACTTGGACAGCGTCTTGCCCTCGAGCTGCGTGCGCGCATCGCCAGCGGGTTTGGATCCAGGCGGACTTCCGGAGGGGCTCAGCTGAGCAGCTGATTGGCGGGCAGGCATCTGCGAGTCATGTGCGATCTCGCCCGATGCGTTGTGGTGCAGCGTGGCCTGGCTCGGCTCCCTGGACATGGTGTGCACCGAGGTGCTGCTGGACTCGGCTACCGGCTCAAGGCTCATCTGCTGAGTGCCCTGCACAATGCTGTTCACATCGTCGTGTGGCGGTGGTGGTGGCGGCGGCGGCGGCGGCGAGCAGTGGGCGTGGCCAGCGTTGACTGACCGCAGGTTGGCATCGCTGATGGCGAAAATCGAGTCAGCGGTCATGGGCTCAAAGTTGCGCTGTGCATGGTACGCCTTGGGCAGCGACTCCTTGCGCTGGTGCTGCGCGCTGCGCGGCGATCCGCTGGGCGGTGAGTTGGCGCCCGAGCGCTGCCCGCTGGCATCGGACCGGTCGGTCATTTGCGTCTGCGTCGTCGGGGTGCGGTAGGCGATTGTTGGCTGCTCGACGTGCCGCCGCGGGTTCGGTGCCTTGGTTGACTTGGTCGACTTGTCGCGGTGCAGGAGGCTGTGCAAGCGCTGCGAGAAGCTGGTGTTGCGCTTGATCAGCGTCGGCCCGGCCAGCCCGCCCTGCACGGGCTTGATGCTGGCTGACTGTGTGCCTGATGCTGTGCTGGCTTTAGGAATATGCATGCCCTCAGTGCGAATCCGGAGCTGCTGCGGCTGCGACCCGCTGGGCGGCGTGTTAGGGTGGGAGCTGATGCCCTGCTCCGCCCCCGCCATCATGTTGGGCAGTGCATTCGACAGCTTGCTGTGCGAGACTGACCGCTGGGGCGCCCCGGACCTTGCCTCAGCTGGCAGCTTGCCCGAGACATCCGAGGTCTTCCGCGAGAGAGTCGAGATTATGCCCATGGTTGCTATGAGGCTGATTTTTCCGGGGATAATAAGCTAGACCGCGTTCCGCAAAAAAGTTTCTGGTATTGGTTCCTTAACCTCCTCCGCGTTGAGTTTGAAATCGTGTAGAAAGTATGCAGCGAGCGTGCCTCCCAAAGGTTCTCGAATATCGTGTCTGAGGCTATCCAGTGTCTATGGATCTATAGCAAAATTGGCCACCCTATTAGCAAAACAAAGGGCTATTGAAAACCACCATCCACTGAGCGCCATACGGGCCTGGATTCCAGAGCACAAAACAACAACACAGCAGCAGAGCCCCGGGCTCTCCTTTTGAGATATCCGGAATAGCGCAGTACGTGCGCTTGGCGCATGCCTTCAGGCGCCATCCATTGAATACGAACCACAGGGGATGTCGAGCACGTACAGAATCGGGCAGGAAAGCAGAGAGACAGGGCGTTGCAAATAAGAAGAAAATCGTTGCGGTGTTTTTAATCCACTTTTCGGTAAATGCGAGGGAAACAGGCGATAAATGCTCAGTGGGCAAGCCCAAGAAGACTCCAAGACGTCAGGGCTATGTGATAACGTCCACCCCTCTGGCCACGTAAAGTACGCCGGACTAACAGGAAGAAAAAGGAATAGAGCCGGATCTCCTTTGGCGCTATGGTATTTGGCGACCCCTCCGATACCAGAGAAATAATCAGGAAAAGAGATAGGAAAGAGAGAGAAAGAGAAAAGGAGGCTCCTTTCTAGCCCTCGGCCGAGGTCTACCACTCGCCCCCAGCCTTTATATAGTGGAAGCCATGAAAGGGGGGTGCAGAGGGGGCGGGTGGATGACCCACGCCGGGGTATTATCCAAACAATCGTCACCCAAACTTACTTTTATAACGCCCAGTATCCGCTCTAACGGTTATACTCGCAAAGGAGAATCTGGATTTAAAGAAAATAGCAAAGAAAGTGGAAAAAATTGTAAAAGAGAGATTCGTAGCTCCGTTGGTAAAAACCGACAGCAGCTCCACCCAAGCGCGCACCAGGATAACTTTTTCTGCCCAACAAGCGAAAAACAGGCGAGCTCGTCGGGCGGTTCAGTCATCCAATATGGTGTTTCAGAATTTGGCTTGACCCCTGACTCGCAGGCCTGGCTGCAAATCGCACCGAGCTCATCGCCATGGTTCAGTGGAGGTTGCGTCATTGGACAAGTGGTGCTGCCCGTCTGCTGCCCGGCTCGTGGCACCTGCGTCCCAGAGACTGAAGCGTGCAACCGCCCCTCGACCGCCGGGTCTCCTGGCGATGTCCGCTGATGCTGCTGATGCTGATGGCGCCTGCAATCCGGGTGGTCGGACAGTCTCCACCCGCAGCCATGCAGCGGCTCATTTTATGCAGCTCAGCCTCCCACTGATCAGCTATCGCCTGTCGCTTTGCCAGCAAAATACCCGCCATTCTGCTCAATTGCCTTCTCCCCCGCACTTTTGCTGAACCCTGGCTGGCCGTCACCCAACCCCGGGGAACCCTACTGCGCTTGGGCGCAGCCAGGCTGGGGGCAGAGCGGTTGAGATAATGAGGATAGTAGACGGCTGCGACAGCGCATTGTGCGTGGATTCATTGAGGTCTGGTCATTGCAGGGGCGTCTTCTGCCCAGAAATCTACGCCGCCAGAGAATAAAGACAGCAGAGCATGCAACGTGCTTCTAGAAGTGCTTCTTCCCTCCCCCATGCTTCCTTGTATGCTGCAGTACTTACATACTACACGATGGCGGCATTGTTGAAGTGGAAGCGAGACATGTCCGCGCATTCTTCCGTTAGCACCGCCAGCACCCAACATTCGAGAAGATACCATGTGGCTGAGTAGATATTGTCTTTTTTCCAGAAGACTTTTTATTTTTTGGATCCTACATGAAGTGGGCCCGCATGTAGGTCGTGACCTGGTCATAGACGACAAGCAGGATTCCACCGCCGGGGCCCAGACGCAGCACCTTGGGCACATACCCCTTGTAGAGTGCCTTGGCGCCCTCCTCCTGCAGAATGACCTTGGCACCTGGCAGGAACGACCTGTACCTGGGCGGGCCACTGGCCGAGTTGTGGTTCTGGATCCGGGTCTTGACCACATCGGCCGGGGTGTTCAGCGTCGTGCCAATGGTGCCGCCAATGGCGCCAGCGACAAAGTTGTTCAGCAGCTGGCTCTGCTTGGACTCGGCCTTGGGCAGCATCTGCTTGATGCCGAAGATGGACCCAAAGTACCCGCCGTTCCACAGCGCATGCCGCCACACGGTGCACTCCAGCCCATTCGCAAACGCCTTCAGGCCCTCCTGGGCGTAGATCTTCCGCACGCAGTCCATGGTGCCGTTGTACTTGCCTGCGTTGCCCTTCGCCTGCAGCCGGATCTTCACCAGCTCCGGCGTCGACACAATCATCGCCTCCGTCACGCCCGCCGTCACGCCCGTCAGAATCGCCAGCGGCTGCGTCAGCTTCTCCGCCCCAAACATCTTCATGTACATCGGCCCGTACGTGTCGTTCGACGCAAACTTGATCGCTCGCTTCGGCGCCTCCACCATGATGGGCGGCAGAATCCCGCGGTACAGCCGCGACGGGCCCTCCTCGCGGATAATCCGCAGGAACACGTCGCTGATCGACTTGTACTGGTCGGCGCCGCCTGTGCCCACCTGCAGCATCAGCCGCGTCTTGGCCACGTCCAGTGGGTACATGCACAGAATTTCAGACACGCCGGCAATTGCGCCGGCCGCGAACTGGAACGAAAATGGCAGGGCTACAAAATACACCGCTGGGGGCGTTAGTCCAATCCCTGCTCAATGCCTCCCCAGAAGGGCTTTCTTCAAAAAAGCCAGATCCTTACGTGCTTCAGCCTTGGCACTCATGTTTCGCTAAGAGTATGGAAAATGTGGAAGCCGAGAGATAAGTGAGAAAAGGGAGTTGAGCGGACCCCACGCGTTGCCTGCTCCTTTTCAATTGAGACCCCTGTCATGCCCGCCTGCTCAATCCCCTCCCCACGCAAACCCGCCCTTGTGTGTCATTGCCGGCCCAAAAGCGGGATACCAATACGTGCTGGGCTGATCGTTATCGGACCACGCTACGAATCATCAAGCCCCCGAGTCACAGCGACAAAGGAGCGGCCGCACACCCTCCCCGATCCCTCCGGCATCCGGGCAGCTTCGTTTTTTCTACACGGCAGCTTGCCAATACCTCCTTTTAGGACGCCAGGCACATAATGCCCGGGCCAAAGCTCAGACAGAGTTTGGCTGATATGCATAATATCTCCGCTGCAGTCGGCTTGCATACGCCCGACCTCGACCCCACATCCACGCCCCGTCTATTGGATAGAAAATATGCGTTCTTCAGCCAGGGCATGCAGCGCCGACGATCCCACCACTCCGACATTGTCCGACACATAAAGCCAGCCGGTTTATTCACTCTAGTCGATCTTGATAGCGCCATAAATCCTCCTAACAAACATGTGGCTCGCCACGAACCCAATGGCGCCTGTCAGCACAAAGAACAGGAGGCATACAATCGCCATCCACCCAAAGTAAATGACCAGCGACGCAAACGACGCCAGCCGCAGCCGCGAGAAGTAGAACAGCACCCCGTACAAAAACACGTACAGCGCCGACGCTCCCGCCGTGTACACCGAGCGCCAGTGCCATCTGTAGTCCTCGGCGCATAGGTGGAAGTACGTCAAAAGCACAGTGACCTCGGCCGTCGTCACCACCAGGATCAGGAACACCAGGAACAGGAACCCAAACACATAGTACACCTTGTGGAACCAGATGCTGTTCATGATAAAGTACAGCTCGATGAAGATCGCTCCGAACGTCAGCACGCCGCCCATCAGCGCCGAGGGCACCGGCTTCAGGTACCACGGCTGGTCGGGGATCTGGCGCGGGATCTGGTTCACACGCACTGGCGGATCAATCGTCTTGCGCCGGTACCCAAAGTACGCCCCGGCAATCGTCAGCGGGATCGAAATCACAAACCACATCGCCATGAGCCCAAACAGCGCTCCCACCGGCGCCGCTGCCGACGACCGCATCGCCATTAGGCTGATGTTGATAATGACCAGGATGGTGCAGCACGATCCCGGCACAAACAGCATTGTCATGATAACGATGCGCTTCAGCGACGTGCCACCGAACGAATGGTACATGTGCGCCGCATTGAATCCTGCGGAGAACGAATACACAATGTACAGCACAAGCATCGCCGTCGACAGAGAGCCGCGGCTTGACGGCGACAGGAATCCGAGGAGTGCGATTACCAGCGTCGTCAGCGACATCCAGAACAGCTGGTACCCGCTCCCCAAAATCACAGACAGCATCGGGAAGTGCTGCGGCGCCCGGAACACATCGCCGTGCACCAGCTTCCATCCAAAATCCTCCTGCAAGTCCTCAGCGTCGTCGGCATTGTACCGCGCAATGTCCTTGTGCAGCGCACGCATCAGAATCAGGCCCACCATCGCGCTCAGGAAAATCACAATCACTGCCGAGTTGATTAGGCTGAACCAGTGGATCTTGGGGTCCATTGCATGCAGGTAGTCGTCCCAGCGGGTCGCCCACGACTTGTCCGACTTCTCCCACGTCACAGAGTAAGTGTATACAACCTGCGTATCCTTGTCCTGGTTCAGGAGCATCGGCTCCGTCGAGTCACACGTCGGCGCTGTGTCTGCCGAATACCGCGTCTTCTTGCTCGACGGGTACACCACAACACCAACCACGCGGTGGTGCACGCTGTCCAGCGTGTGGTACTGGATCCTTATGTCATAGTGGTTGTTAAAATGCGGCAGGATTTGCCCGCTGGCCGCACTGCCCAGCCCAAACCCGACAGAGTAAAACTCCTGCTGCGTCCGGTCCTCAACCTTCACTGTCGCTGCCGGCAGCCCGTCGATCAGCCAGTTGTAGTTGTAGCCCTTCATGATTTTATCGTTGATAAAGCCTGCACTCTTGCCTGACACCAGCTGCGAACACAACATCTGGCACTGGGTGTTCTTCAGCATCTCCACGTCAAATGCCGACGAGAAGATCCGGTCACCAAACAGCATGCTGCCCAGCGACTCATGAGCCGACTTTGGTCCGCCCTCGGGCTTGCAGAAGTTGAACCGCTCATCATAGTAGCTGTACGAGAGAACCGACTCGAGCTTATTGTCTGCGTTCAGCGACGGCGTCAGCGAATTCACCTGCAACTCCACCTTCTCGCCTGCCTTGTAGTCGTGCGGCGCTATACCAGGCAGATAGAATGCTGACACCTGCTGTGCCAGCGCCAAGAGACCAGTGGCCAGTGCTGCGGTGCGCCAGCCTGGAGACAACCTGTTGACTCTCATCTGGAGGAGAGCAATTTGGACCGTTTAAGTGTTTGTGTCTGCTAACTGCCTGCTCCTGTTGTAAGTAGTATACCAAAGAAAGAGCGCTAGGCAGAATGGAATGAGAGCTGTGTTTATGGAAATGAAGTGCGCAAAGTAAACCACAAAGAACCGAGCTGGAGACAGGGACACGGGCCACCTGCCAGTATGCGGCAGTGCATCATTCTCAGGGTGCCAAGTCCGCCATGTTCTGATCAGTGATCACCAGGCGCTGATGGATCACTGTGTATGCTCGCACCCAACCCAACCACCACATGCACCACTCTGCCCGACCCCAACGGCGCTTGGCCATGTACGCACTGCCACCACTATAGAACAGATGTCGCCATATCCAGAGGCTTGATTAGCCGTGTCGACCTGCCCCTATATGGCCCGTGATTTGCAACCTGTTCAGGTTGCGATTGGATATGCAGTATCATATTTTATATGCCGATATGCCTGACCCACTTTCCTACGTACACGGCGGCTGTGCAATTAGCTAAACGCCCTAATCGTTTTTCCACCTTTACTACTATTGACCCACACGCGTGGCTGAATTGTCCATGTCTTATGACACATTGGCCAGTGTTGGGTCTGTATTGCGCACTTTGCGCCTGGCAGCTCAGCTTGTTTGAGCAGCTCCGATAAGCGGATCGCTACAGCTTCTGCGCCTCTCCCTGCTACTTTCTGGATCCCTCGCTGGACCTCAGACAGGCGCTGCGGCTGTGAGAAGGATCGCCCAATATGTCTTCTTTGTTTGCGTTTTTACAATAAATGTGTGCCTGTTCCTGATTATACGCACCAAAAAATAAAGGGCTCCTCCAAGCTGCGTACCAAGGCCAGCGAGGGATAAAGAGAGAAAAATTTTCCTCCACCCGGCAAAGTCAGCAGGTCTGAATCACACCTTACTGTGGAGAAAAGGAGGCAAATAAGGTGCAAGCGTATGCAGTGTTGCATCCTTGCTTCGCTCCAGCATCACTCCGGCTTATTTTCTCTTCTATTAGTATTGAGTTATCAGCATAATTTGTACTTTGTATCTACCTGTATCTTTCTTCGCTCTTGGTAGTCACTATTTTCCTTTACCTCGACGTATTGTTTATAACTCGTTTATCATCTACATATTTGCGGTTTTCCCCGGTATCGTCAGGCGAGCTGGGTGCTTTTGTGAATATCACGCATTATACCGAGAATCTCGTTAGCGAGCATATCGACTCTATCGGCTCTTCAATATCACCTGTACATTTTGCCTATACTTTTAACGAACCTTTGGCACCACCAGGCCAAGATCCCAAAAAGCGCAAGTAGGTATTCGATAGACCGCGCAAACTGACTGCGTGCTTAGACTCGACATAGCTTTGTCTCATTTCCTAGACCTGTTGACGCTTTGCGATTCAACTGGGGCGCCGGTGTTTTGTGGTTTTTCTACAAACAAAAGTTACTCGCCCTCCCCCTATTCTCTGCGGTGCCTCATTCTGCGTTGTCCTGCTTGTGCCGCTACCTATACATTTTTCTGGAGGGGCGGAGGGGAGTGGAATCAAGTAGAATCGGTGAAAGCAGAGTCCACAGCGCTTTTTGCATGCCTTGCGGATTGTCTAACCGAAATGTGCCGAGGCTGTGTGATGAAAGTGGCCAGGCATTTTTTACACTTTGCTCGCCCGGCACCTTCTGGAGTCACAGATGAAGGAACTCTGGAGCAGCCCAAAAGGCATGCGGCCCTTTGTTCTCCTGGTACCGCGCATGTTCCTATTCCCCTTCCGTCACATGTCTGAATCTCTTGCTCTTTGTCTGCAAGAAAAAAAACCTTTTCAAAGCGCTGGAAAAGTTTGCGGCTGTATCGTGTAGAGGTGATTTCTAAATTGCACACGAAAAGCGAAAAACAACTTTGCTCCGGCTTCCTAGTCCACCAGATAAAACGTGTGGAGCATCTATCTTGTCTCTTCATCTCTCCGGCCTCATCTTTTTCGTACGAATTTCCTTTCTCTTTTTCTTTCTCTTTTTCTTTTTCTCTTTTCTCTGTTGCTCATGACCCGGTGCCTCACTTTACACTTTGTACATATATCAACGTGATAAAAAAGCGCTATTTCACATGTCTCATATATTCTACTCGCCCTTGGATGGCCGCCCCTCTATCTATAGCATGTCGACGGTAAAGACCGGGCACTGCAAGTTCTTCAACAGCACCAAGGGATACGGCTTCGTTATACCCGACGAGCCCATCGAAGGTAATGCTGAAGGTAAGCAAGCTTTTTTTTCCTCCCCCAAAAACCTCCGTCGCATGTAAGATGATGTACATTGGCATTCAGAAATCCCCTGCTATATATTTGAACCGGTTCTTAATTGGACGAAAAAGCAGGAGGCAGACTGGGAACGCGAAGTTCCAGGTGTGTTAAATGCGGTACCGCATGCTGTTTTTTTTGGGACGAAAACAGAACTGATATTCTGGCTCATTCACCAAATAGTATTCGTTCACCATACAGTGATCCACAACAGCGGAGGATTCAAGAGCCTGGCTGAGGTAGAGTATACACATGGCATGTCCACTACCATTGCTGCATTGCAATCTTGTCGATACACTTTACTAACTGGGGGCCTCTAATGTTCTGCCAAACGACACTGGGCTGACACCCGAATCCCTGCTGGCGTCGCATGGTTGGGCGCAAGTCGCTTTAGGGAGAACTGGTAAGTGCCGCATTCTCTGCTGCAATCGGAATGACAGATGCACACCCCTCACACTGTTCGCGAAGGGCATGAGTTCTGCAAGTTTAGGGGAGTAACCAGCTGAAGGTCTTTTTGCTGAGCCACGCACGCCTCTTTGAACAGCGCTGCATTGTTGCCGTGGTTCTTACCCAGAAAAAGCGGCCCATTGTGCCAGCAAGAAAATATCCTAATGCCCAGCAACCACAACCCAACTGTATTCTTCATTTATGCATTCCAAGTAGGTCGAGTTCGACGTCATAAAAGGACCCAAAGGACTGCAGGCGTCGCGTGTCACCGGCCCAAACGGTGCGCCAGTGCGCGGCGATCCGTACTCGCGGCTACGCACCCGCACTAGCCCTCCGTCACAGGTGCCGATGCCACGCAGCACAGCATCGGCGGCTTCGAATCTATATCCATACTACCCAATAAACTACCCGCAGGTCGTTGGATTCAGTAGCCAGTCCGCGCCGCAACAAAACTTTGGTCCGTTCCCGTTCCAAGCTACACCACAGCCGAACAACGGGTTTGTGATGCCGGCTCCTAATGCGACAATGGGTGGGTCGCGCACTGTAATCGGCGGATCGCAGGTGCCGCCGGTGTTCTTTACCGGCACACCACACGTGCAGCAAGCGCTGTCGTCGGGGTACGACCCGTTCAACCGCCAGGTGCTGGGACACACGTACGAGGGCCCCGGATACACCCAGCAGATCAGCTCACAAGCGACACAGCAGACGTTCCAGCAGCCGGCCGGATTCCCGCAGGTGAGCCGCCAGGACTCGGGCACGTCGCAAATGAGCTCAAAGTTTGCAAAGTTCCCCGAATGACAGCCGGCCCACCAGGCACCGCTTCTCCTCAGTTTACCTTTCCCTTAGCTTGTATGTTTGTTAGTTCAATTGGGAAGCTCATTATCAGCCCTCTATTAACTCGGAAACCAGGTTTACATAGGCATCTCTCCCTCTTCGAGTTCGCTCGAGTAATCCTCCTCGGTCCTAGGCTTGGTGCTGCGGCTTTCGGTCGCTGATCCGCCCGCCACCGGACTGCGCGAGCGCTTGCGTGCCTCGGCCTCCAGCGACTCCTGCCGGCGCTTCTTTTGCTGCACCTTCTCCTTCATGCGATCGACAACCTGGTCAAACGTAGCGCGACATGCCTTCTCGTCGCCCACGTCCTTGAACTCGGGCAGAGCATATACCTTAGCTTGCACAGCCTCCCACGTCGTGTCGGCGCTGATGGGCGGATCCAGGTAGTATAGTGCATACTTGAAGTCGTCCAGCAGTCGGCGCCGGTGCCGCTCGTTGCGCTCCTCCTCTTCCTCCTTCCGGCGCACTGCCTTTAGCACCAGCTGCTCGTGAATGTATGTGAGGTTGTCCATGGCCACTGTTGTGTGGTCGCGAGCGAATTTCTCGACCTCGCTCAATGGCGTGTCGATCAGCACCCGGAACCCGCGGTCCCGCATGATGGCCTCCAGCTTCTTGCGGTCATGGTACATGTCCTCGTTCAGCAGCTCGACCTCGTCCCAGAACAGCTCCAGCGGCGTCGACCCACTCTGGCCCAGCATCTCGGTGTAGCGCGGGTCCGTCCGGATCAACGGGAAGAACTCCTTCCAGGTCATTACGGGTGTGATCTTGGCCTTGTTTTCGCGCAAAAGCTCACGGAATCGGTCCCGGCGGATTCTTTCTTCGCGGAACATAGCCTCTTTCTCACGTCGCCGCTGCTCGCTGTCCCGCTGCTCGGCTTCGGACATGGCTCGCTCAAACACCTCAATCAAATCCAGCATCGTCAGGCCAGCCTCGGGATCTACCGCCGACGCATCGGTCTGCAGACGCAGTGTATCCAGAGGCACACGCTGGTCGTCGGAGCGCACAACCGGCATCAGCGAGTCCTGGAATCTTTCCACAAGCTTCTTTTTCATATCCTCCCATTTGGTGCTGATAGTTACCTGTGACAGGAACTCCGCTACCTCCTGCATCTGCTTGGTTTTGGTCTTGCGCCGCTCTTCCTTAAGCTTGTGTCGGTACTCATCCATGTACTCGTCAAACAGCCGCATTTGATCCGATTCGCGCTCCACTGCTTGCATCGCCGGATGGTTGGCTGCAACCTTGGCCACCTTGCTGAATCGGGTGTATTCGGAGATCGCCAGCGTGCTCATCATGGTGTTGAAGTCCTCGCGCTGCTTCTTTTGTCTCTGGCGCCGCTCCTCGCGCTCCTTCTCCAGCGTTCGGTCAATATACCGGTCAAACGCATCCCGCCGTTCCTGCGCAGAACGCAAGGCATGATACATTGGGTCCTTGGACACTGTGCGCACTGTCTGCTGCCACGTCCAATTGCCAGTAACATCGTGTGCATGCAGCATGTCCATAAAGGCCTTTTCAGCTTCCTCTGCCGTTCGAAATTCAAGACGGTTGGTCTTCTTTGGCTGATATGATTGCTGACTGTTTGACACTGCCGACTGAGGTCCGGGCTTGACTGGTTCTGTTGCCGATGCTGGAACAACGGCCGGTACCGGCACTGGTACCGATGCTGGCACTGGCACCGGCACCGGCATGGGCACGGGCACCGGGGCCGGAGCTGGGGCTGGGGCTGGGGCTGTGGAAGCCGGAACCAGCTCAACAGGCCGAGTCCAGGTCGACTTTTTCGTCGCGGTGTTGTACCAGTATGGCTTTCCGTCTTTGGCGTACTCCTTCCACACCGAAGCACGCTCCTGCGGCGTCTTCAGCTCGTCGGGCTTCTCCCAGCTCGTCACCCGCGTCTCACGGTTGTAGTAGTACGCGCGACCGTCCGGCGATGTGTACTCTGTCCACGCCGACATTCCTTGAGAATAAATTGAAAGCAAAATTCTGACACAAAGGCGAGAATAAAAGAAGCCGTGGAAATCCGCTTGTGGACCTGAGAGGCTGAGGGCGTTATTTTGGACCTTGATTCCATTTGATTCTACGGCGATTATGGCCGACACCTGGATCCTCAATCAGCAGCTTCGCTGAGTTCGACACTCCTTCGCGACACACTGCCTTCCAGTTTTCTATAGCGACTGTCGCTTTCAGTGCAGCATGAATCCCGTTAGGGTACTGCAAGCCATTGAGCCAGCGGCCAAAATAGACCCATTGCGTAAACTAACATCATTCACACTTGCTATTTAGTGCAACCCGCGGTGTCCAGTTGCTTCATGAATGTCTGGCAAACCCCAATGATTTGTCGTCTTGAAAACACTCATAGGCTTCATGGGCTCTGACTCGCTTCCGCGCTATCAGTGCCCGTCGGAACTCGACACATAACCCGGCCTCAATACCAGCCTCTATGAATTTGACGGTCTGCTTATCTATTCCTTCCTCTCCCTATATCCATGCATGTTTGATGGCTACTCAATCACCCATGCTACCTCGCATATTGAGTATTAGCGATTGGGCTGCCGGGAACATGCTCTTCAAAATTCCAGCTATTGCTAGCCACACTGCAACACTCGGACATACGAGTCGTCGCTTGCCACTACCTGCAGACATTGGAGAGGCTTGCTGAAGCCTCGCATCAGTCGTCGTGCAAATGTCTATTACTAGGGTACAACCAACAGCAAGCATCTATCAAGCTGCCAGTGGAAATCAAACACCAGCTCCATTACCCTCGCTCAGAACAACGTAGCATACAAAGTGGGTCGAAATTGCAAGCATTGAAGGTGCACCTATTCCTGGCTTTCCTCGCATGTTTGAGGCATTTAGATTCTACGCTGGTGCATGGGATAATAGCTTAGCATTGAACTTTGGGCTTGAAGACCCTGAAAATTCTGCGACGATAGCCCCTCAGCTTTCGGTACCTTTCTGCAATTTCGTCTGCTTCCACATGCCTGGGCTTGCCTGCACCGACTTTGAGCCCAACTATGAAGACCACAAGCTGGCACTGCTGAGCCGAGGGCTGGCTGCCCACCTTATAACTCAGTTCCACTCACTGACTGTTGCACCCAATATGCTGCCTCGGCTCAAGGTCATCGACATGGCCAACTCCTCTGATGTGTTTGCCGGTTTCTATGCGAGTTTTTCTGACGTGCCAAGTTGGCTCCGCTAACTATCAGAGACAGTCCGACCCCACTGGGTCACATTCATCCACTAACATTCGGCACTGTAGATCACGTTGATGTACGAATCAGCAACGGTGCCGCAGGCATACATGGTCAAATCTGAGCAATATTTTTCCGTGCTCTGCCGCAAAGTACATGTCTTTCAATACTGAAGCCATTGCTATCAAGGGGTGGCAAACTGTGTAGCATGGCTGCACGCTGCATCTTGTGTTTTGTTAAAGCAAATACATCTATTCAGACGTCCATATCGGCACCTTCCTGTCATTGAAGAAAAATGCGGTCATGTTTAATGTCGGGTGATTCGCCATCCCAAGGATACCATGCTCCGAAATCTTTGTCTGTCCCTGGCATATTCCGGACTCGATGCTGAAGCTGAATAGTTCCGACTTGTCAGAGACAGCGAGGATGTACTTGCCTTGAGGTGTGATGCTCGCACAAAGGAATTCCTTGCAAGTACCTTCTTTTGGGCTAAATGTCTTTTTGACATCGCCGTCAAGGGTGACAATATACATGGTAGGTGACTTGGTGCATACAAAAATATCGGTCGACGATCCAGGGACACGCGCTGCGCTATGCGTCTCAGGCAGAGCCAAACCAGCATTCCTCTCATTTGGTACGATGGTGTGCATGCAACTGGCCGATTTGGCATCCCAAATACGGACTGAGCCATCCCCAGATGTGCTGACGACGCGGGACATATCGTCGCTGAACAGAACGCTGGTGATGTACGCGGTGTGGCCAATAAACTCACGGATGCATTTTCCAGACTTGAGCCCATGAATTCGAACAGTGTTATCGAACCCGCCGCTGATAACCTGCGTGCTGTCTTTGGAAAACGCAATACAGGTGACACCCTGGCTGTGTGCTGCAGGAATCCGCCTCGTGCAAGCCCCAGTTTTTACATTCCACACCTTTATCTTTCCATCGCTTGAGCCCGAGCAAATAGCCTCACCACTGCAGCTGATCGACAAGCATGTCACCGACTGGTCCATCATCATCAGCGCGCTGTCAGCCTGGTACTTCAGATCGGTACGCAGCTTGCCAGTCATGGGGTTCCAAATCTCAATGAACCCATCGGCACTCCCTGTGGCCACATAGTTGCCGCTTGGCGAAAACGCTAAACTCTCTGGGTGCTGCTTCTTTGGGAACTTTATCGTGGCATGAATCTTCGACGGTACTTTATCTTCCCCCTGCTGGACAGCATGCTTCTTCCCGTAGAACAGATCGTACCTGTCACCAAGCGTGATGCTCCCCTGCTCCTGTTGCCATTTCAGTGCCTGTCCCAAAAGAGTCAAAAGACGGGATGGCTGGGCCGACGTGACCTCCGCCGTCAGACTCTCTGCAATCGCTGCGCGCCCTTGATTCCTTGGTGCCCTCTCCCTTGTACACAAATTGCGCATCGAATGTGGTCCGCGACAGCAGCTGCTCCAGCCTGAGATAGCGCTCAGGCTGTTCTGTCCGCATGGTCTGCATTGGCTCCGTCTGTCGAAGCAGGACGCGGGCAGGAGCCAGGTCAAGCAACTCGGCAAGCTCAAAGATTACTTGCTCATACAAATCGATAAGCCTGCTGGGCTCGAGATTAGCCTGTTCAACGCTGCCTAACACAATGTCCCACCGACCCTTTAAAATATTGCTCTTGAAGGCATCGATATTGTCAATAGTGTTCAGCCGGATTGACGATTCGCTTTGCAGGACGTCAAGCGTGCGCTTCAAGTTGTGCTCCTTGAGGAATTGCTCAATAAGCCTAATCACGTCGGCCGATTCGATTTCCATGGGGGTGGCTGAGATAGAAATTGAAAATTGATGTTACTACTAGAAGTCCAAAATTTGCTTGTGGCTCACCGATCACAAGCCATATTAACGCATGTTATGGATCTGTGCTGTGCATACCATCAGGATGTTCTTTATCGCTGCAGATGGACCCTATGCATTCTAGGCCAAGGTCTGCAAATCTAACGTCTATCATAATATCCAAGGAATCTTGCCAAACGCTATGGTTGTTGAAACATCATTTTATTTTCCACTAGTTCGGAGGTGAATTCTCCCAACAATGATGGCAGGTGGGAAAATAGCAAAGTGGACGCTGTCCTTGTCATTTAATACCAGACTTATGGCGCTCACGATGCGATCTCGGCTAGTCAGTATGTGCCCACAAAGAGAGCCCAACGCAACCAGCCTGTAGGAATTGTATACCGATATTTATCACGGAAGGTTTGCAAAGCAAAAGCAGTATTTCATCCCACTATCCAGGATAGATAGTTCTTGCATAGTCAGACGTATCCATCGAGTGGTTGCAAATGCACATCACCAAGTCGAGCCCCGCACCGAGGTATGCCACGGCTGGCAACTACAAAGATCAAATAACGGAATGTAAAGGAGGAGTTTATAGGGAAGTCGGAATGTGTGGAAAGGGGTGAGGTATTTGAAAAAGCCAGATGACGCAGGAAGGGCCACTTCTAAATGTAGGATATATGTTGGCCAGTAAGCCAATGGTGCCTTTTTTGAGCACTCAAAAATAAATGAGACCGATTGCGGGCCGTGCAGACAACCTGCTATCGCCCCCACCGGCTTAAGCCCATGGTTCCAAGTTTGGGTGCTGAGGATGTGGAAGTTGGGCGGTTTGTTTAGTACATTACTGCATCAACGAAATGCGAACTGAGATGGATGGTGCTTTGATAGAACGAAAGTTCTGGGTTCGGTTTTTCGAGTGCTTTCAAGACATATTTGTCACCTTAGGATCTGAATCCATCGGCCAAAAGAGAGTACTGTTTGTTAAGAGTTTACAGAGCGAGCCACGCATGCTCGCTATGAGGCTCAAAAGAGTATGAATCCCCTCAATCAAAAATGCTCTACCGGACGGTCGGATACTTTTTCGACTATAAAATCTTATATATAGGTAAAAGATTGATACAACAGCATTCATAGCATGACAGTGTATTTTGCCACTAATAGCGCCCCATTTATTTTATACATATCCTTAGGTTCACTGCATATATGACAAAAGTACCATTTTGTATCTTCATGGGTTCGCATTTGACACAAATAACATTTGAAATGACTGCCGATTCTTTGGATTATTATTGGTAGTAAATATTCCAATCCTCATAGCCATACCATTCAGAGATATCGTCTACTATGCTGCAGCCACCAAGTGGAAGACACATCGTTACAGCTTTCTATTTAAAGGATAGTTTTCCCAGACGATGATTTTAGGCTAAGGATTTGCCCTTGGATAGACAACACAAAGGCATACTTCAGAGAGCAGTGATCAGTGACCGTGACAATCTGGAGAACCTCACTTGTGGATGCAGCCTCGGATCGAACCAACTGCCAAATTTTACAATACGCCAGAGCCAAGTTCCATTCGTGAATAAATGATTACAGCCTCGGTACAAGTGTCCATGACCACAATATACATTCCCTTCATCCCATCCGTGTTTTTTCCTAATTTCACTTCATTGCTTATTACCATGTCTCATTCCATTCGGAAGGGCGAGCTCTGCCCCCCAATACCGGACGCTGAAAGGATTGCAGCGGCCAAGGGGCTATTCAATAGTACGCTTGAACCGGTTGGAAAGGGCGACACCGCGCTTGTAATTATTGGCAGTCTTATACTTGCCTTTACAGACGCTCTTGTTGTCTGTACTTTCGTGTAGCGTGGGTATTTGGGTTCCCAATTACGATGTTTGTGCGTATATACACGCTGGATCTCATCCTCATTCAGAAGAAGCCGGTTCGCGGCTGGCCATTCTATGCCCCAATTGCCGGATGGTCCCTCTGTGGATTGACCTGTTTGCTCATTGGGCATTTCCTACCAGATGTGAGCAGCGAGCGTTTTGTACCCCAGATCCAGCTGTGCATTGTGAGCTATTTTTTTGTGATAATATGCATTATGTGGCGCATGCGAGCGATATACAGCGGGTTCGCAGAAGGTCGGGAGACGCTCATCGTCATATTCATTGGAGTAACGGACGTCATCCAGGCTACAATTTTGAACTTGAGTGATAATCTGTACATCTCCAGTGCCAGATTCCGTATTATGAGCACTGCATACAACTCTGTGGTGGCTTTTACAGTTATTTGGGTTACCCTTGCTGTAACTATCTACAACGCATTTTTCAACCACGATATATATCTGGAGGAGCGGCTCAATATGTTAGCTGATGAAGGGTTGAAAAACGTTTACAACCATATCCAGCGCCACTCAGGGCAAGGAGAACGGCAGTACTCCATGATGGAAAGTGAGATGGAGATTGCACAGCAGGGATACTCGCCAACAACACAAGGCAAAAATACCAGAAATGAAAGCGACAAGACGTGTAATTCGCAAGAAGAGGTTTCGATCATGGCGTCAGATATCAGTGACAGACTCACAGCCCCCAAACCATTCCCTCAGTCTTATTTGAACGACCCAGGCGCAATGCGGTATGACCCAGTCGGAGAATCAACCCAATATATCCCGTGAAGGTCGAGGTATTATCCATCTTTTTAGTTTTCCACTGATGATGTCAATCACATGCTACGGCTAGGCCAAGCTAGACATAATGGCATGTATACCCCATGGATAGATTTTGCTTGTGTCATTTGAGTTTACACTGGTAAAACAGTATATAACTACTCCGGTGCACTGTATCTATAGATAGCAACCGTTGTTTCCTTAATGAGATGATCCGGCATGCAATCCTGGACTACGGTTGCCAAACTGGGATGTGTAGCAGCAGCAGACACAACACCAAGGATGGAAAATACGTTGGTAATGCTATTTCTTCAGGAATCCATCTCGCAGTTACGTAATGCTGCCGCAACAAGAATAGGCTCTTCCCTAGCTGCACATTGAGTTCGGATGGCAGCCCTAATCACTATGTGGTCAGCGATATAGTAGTTGCCTTTTGTAAGAAATCGGTTTACTGCGCAAAAAGCGATTGTTACTATTTGACTGGTTACTCAATTGTTTTCTTGCGCTCCTTGCCAAGCTCAACATGCCTAATCGCAAAGCAGGATACGAAGGCAATCCCGCCGATAGCAA